GGAACCCCCCACTCGACAACTTCTGGCCCAGAACCTACCCACGCTCCCCACCTGGCCCCTTCCTGATCTGCCATTCTGACCCCGAGAGAACTCTGTTCTTGAGCACCCCCACTCGGCAACTTCTGGGCCAGATCCTACCCGCGCCCCCTACCTGGCCCCTTCCTGGTTTGGCATTCTCACCCCGAGAGCACTCTGTTCTTGGGGCCCCCCACTCGACAAATTCTGGCCCAGAAAACCTACCAACACGCCCCACTGGCCCCTCCCTGGTCGGCATTCTCACCCCGACAGAATTCTGTTTTCGGACCCCCCACTCGACGAATTCTGCCCCGGATCCTACCCACGCTCCCCACCTGGCCCCTTCCTGGTCTGGCATGCTCACCCCAAGAACATTTTTTCCTTGGGACCCATCACTCGACAAACCCTTCGCCCAGACCCTACCCACGCCCCCCACCCGGCCCCTGCCTCGTCTGGCATTCTCACCCCGAGAGAACTACCTTCTTGGGACCCTCCACTCGACAAATTCTGGCCCAGAACCTGCCCACGCCCCCCACCTGGCCCCCTCCTGCTCTGGCATTCCCACCCCGAGAGAACTCTGTTCTTGGGACCCCCCACTCGACAAATTCTGGCCCAGATCATACCCACGCCCCCCACCTGGCCCCTTCCTGGTCTGGCATTCTCACCCCGAGAGAGTTCTACTCTTGGGACCCCCCACTCGACAACTTCTGGCCCAGAACCTGCCCACGCTCCCCACCTGGCCCCTTCCTGGTCTGCCATTCTGACCCCGAGAGAACTCTGTTCTTGAGCACCCCCACTCGACAACTTCTGGGCCAGATCCTACTCACGCCCCCCACCTGGCCCCTTCCTGGTTTGGCATTCTCACCCCGAGAGCACTCTGTTCTTGGGGCCCCCCACTCGACAAATTCTGGCCCAGAACCTACCCACGCCCCCCACCTGGCCCCTCCCTGGTCTGGCATTCTCACCCCGACAGAATTCTGTTCTCGGACCCCCCACTCGACAAATTCTGGCCCGGATCCTACCCACGCCCCCCCACCTGGCCCCTTCCTGGTCTGGCATTCTCACCCCGAGAACACTTTTTCCTTGGGACCCATCACTCGACAAACCCTTCGCCCAGACCCTACCCACGCCCCCCACCGGCCCCTGCCTCGTCTGGCATTCTCACCCCGAGAGAACTACCTTCTTGGCACCCTCCACTCGACAAATTCTGGCCCAGAACCTGCCCACGCCCCCACCTGGCCCTCTCCTGCTCTGGCATTCCCACCCCGAGAGAACTCTGTTCTTCGGACCCCCCGCTCGACAAATTCTGGCCCAGATCATACCCACGCCCCCCACCTGGCCCCTTCCTGGTCTGGCATTCTCACCCCGAGAAAACTTTGTTCTTGGGACCCATCACTCGACAAATTCTTCGCCCAGACCCTACCCACGCCCCCCACCTGGCCCCTCCTGGTCTGGCATTCCCACCCCGAGAGAACTCTGTTCTTGGGACCCCCCACTCGACAAATTCTGGCCCAGATCATACCCACGCCCCCCACCTGGCCCCTTCCTGGTCTGGCATTCTCACCCCGAGAAAACTTTGTTCTTGGGACCCATCACTCGACAAATTCTTCGCCCAGACCCTACCCACGCCCCCCACCCGGCCCCTGCCTCGTCTGGCATTCTCACCCCGAGAGAATTATATTCTTGGGACCCTCCACTCGACAAATTCTGGCCCAGAACCTGCCCACGCCCCCCACCTGGCCCCCTCCTGGTCTGGCATTCCCACCCCGAGAGAACTCTGTTCTTGGGACCCCCCACTCGACAAATTCTAGCCCAGATCATACCCACGCCCCCCACCTGGCCCCTTCCTGGTCTGGCATTCTCACCCCGAGAGAGTTCTGTTCTTGGGACCCCCCACTCGACAACTTCTGGCCCAGAACCTACCCACGCTCCCCACCTGGCCCCTTCCTGGTCTGCCATTCTGACCCCGAGAGAACTCTGTTCTTGAGCACCCCCACTCGACAACTTCTGGGCCAGATCCTACCCACGCCCCCCACCTGGCCCCTTCCTGGTCCAGTTATGCTGCTCGAGACATCCTCCACAAACATTCACATGTTAGATACCACCCTGGGCGGCCTGGACACGTGAACACAGAGACCTGGCCAGGAACGGGCAGCTCTAAAGGCAGCCATGCGCCTGGCAACTTCGGCGTCGCCCATTAGCTACAGAACACGACAACACAAAACACCGAAAACAGTACCCCAATTTGGGGTCGGCGGCAGAGGCGGCAGCCTTTATATATATATATATATATATATATATATATGCAGATTCACATCTACATGCGCATATACATATTCACATGCAAATGCATTTAATACACATGCATAAACATAGCCGTATACACATGAACATACATACACGTATACATTTACAGAGGTATCTTCATACACCTATGCATAGACCCATTCATATACATAATATGTGTATGCATGTACATACATGTACATTCACAAATACACTTACATGTACATAAGCATATACATATACATATACGTTTATGTATACGCATTCAATTAAACATAAACATAAGCATTTACGTATACGCATACATCAATATGTACACGTGCACATACGCATAGCACACCTATGCATGCGCGAAGGCATGCATCAACACAAACAAATACGCATACATCTACATACACACACTTATACATAAACATATAGAACACACACTTGTGTGTACGCGCAGTAGATCTGAACATATACAGCATCGATCATCGGTCCTCTGCTTTTCAAGATTCTATGACAAAAAAGTCCGTCGACCAAGGGTTTAGCAAGCGGGCGGCGGTGGCGCAGCCTTGCTCACTCAAGGGCGGCCCTTGGAGGACGCGTGGCCGACGACGACGGTGCACTAGCGAGCCCACTCTCACTCGCCGTCGATGATGCACGCTGTCCCCGTGTCGTAGATCTTCAGGAGGTAGCCCACGCACTCCTAGAATGATCATGGTGCTGATCACGTCGTAGCAACACTCCTGGTGCCAAGGGAAGTGGATCATCAACCCCTTGGAGGACCGCCGCAGCCATGCTGATCCTCTCGGCTTCTGCCCAACATTCGCGTGCAGACGACGACCTGATATAAATTGATCGGCGATGTCTGCGCGTGGACTTGTGGTCTGCCTTTGCCACCCTTCCTCAGTCAATCAGTAGTTTCACTCGCGGTGTGAACTCCATCTTCTTTGTTCGGACTTCCAAAGCGCATCTGCTGGCTCCTCCCTCAGGCCATCCAGCGCATACTTCCGTCAACGTGCTGTTCAGATGCTTCTTCGCCGTCGCTCTGAATTTCCAGCGGATGCGTCGTCGGGCGTTCCTGGACCAGTAGATCGCGCGCGAGTGATGGGACAGCTTGCCTTTCAAAGCCAGGCTTCTTTCCCCCACGTCGGTGGCATCCTGGCTTCCGGGCTCATATCCATGCAGTTCCGTCCAGCAGCAGGATCCTCGCGGCAGCTGGCCAGCCACCACTTGACCGTAGGTCCTCTCTGCCTCTTGTTTATGGTCTGCCTGCATCTCTGACAACTCCATTGGCCACCCACGCTTGTCAGTTGGCAAGGGAGACTTCTCGATCATCTCCTCGACGGAACATTAAATCATTAACCATTATCTTCGCTGTTCCTTGTGCGGCTTGCTTCGACCTTCTCTTCCCGTGTCATGGTTTCACTCGTTCCAACAGCTCCACGGGCGCCTAATCATTCGCCTTACCAATGTCGCCATGGATCGCGCCCAATTGTAACATCACACTGGGACTTCGGCTTTCTACCGTGAACTCGCTGCTTTGCCAGCCACAATGTCAGCTCTCAAGTTTCGTTGTCAGGCTGCCAGCGGTACTCCCCTCCGCGCTGCATCCTCGATGCTCGCACGGCTCCCCGCGCGTCGCACAATGATCTCCGCGTGGCCATGGACCAGTAACACCTAGCCAATTCGCCTCAACAATTCTCCATGTCCACGTCTGAAGTTTCTAGTCCGGTACCTCTTCGCATGAAAGCATGTGCACAATACTTCGAAGTCTGTCCAGAATTCCATGTCTCCGATGGCCACCCCCAACGCGTCGAGGAAGGCCGTGATCGCTGCCCTGTTGTTTGATTGGCGCGGTCCTGGAAGCGGTCCTGCTGCCCCAGCTGCACTTGCCCATGGGCCTTGCACCTCCTCCATGAGCGGCAGGACAGAGCCACGTCATAATCTGGCATCATCTGACCTTGCTCCTCCACTGCCGTCTCCGCATATGGTCAGGCGCTCGCCCGACTTGGCCACCAGCTTGTCGCCGTCGTTGAGGCCGTCGGTGCCTTCTGCGTTCCCAGATCTCGCGGCTGAAAGTTCGGTCGAGCATGGTGGTGGGCACGACCAGCTTCTCGGCGTGATACCTCGATGCCAGCATGCTATCTAGCTTGTTTTCCCCTGCTCAGCTCGTTGTGCCAGGCGTTCTGTCTTGCTGTAAAGCACGCGCCCATTCCTGCAACTGCATCTCCCCCGGACGATGTGGAAGTCGTCTGCGGATGCGGCAACCTCGTAGGCCTCGCTCCTCCTCCGTGGTGGCCATACTCCTGCTGACGCCGCCGTAGGTAACACCCCGACCTGCTGATGCTCCCCCGCCTGCTCCATCTTTCCAATGGAACTTCAGGTTGTACGTGACCGCCCCCATCTCCAATCCAGCTCCGCTGTGGTGCTTGCTGGCCAGTTTCCAGGTCCTCCACCTCGAGTGGTCCGCGCTGGCGTCTAGTAGATCCGTTGGGTCGCCGTCCGCCTCGCCAGGCAGCAGCTGCCAACAGTCCCCGTTCGCGTCGGCCCAATAGTAAGCCCGAGGTGCGCCCCTGCCCGCTTCTCACGGTTGGAGCAGAAATGATCCCAGCACCCCTCGGCTTTGTTGCCATATTGCTGGTCCCGTTGCTGCCTGTAGCATCTCTCATCCGTGGCCATGCTCGCTTCGCTCCTGCTCGTAGGTCTGGTCTGGTAGCCCTCAGGTCGGACCAAACTTGAAGTTGGTCTCGCGGCATGGCCACTCCTGGACTGGCCGCACTCCAAGTCGAGCAGAGTGGTAAGACATCTGCCTGGCCAGGCCCGTCAAAGTCCTCGCGTGCACCTCCTCCTTTCCTCCGTCAGCTCCGTAGGAGTCGCGCCGTGGATCTCGGCGCCGTACTTGACCTGTGCCACGGGCCCCTGCTAGATGACATGTCTCCTCGACTTGGCTGCCTTGAGCTTCCTTGCCATGGCACCGAACCGCTTGAATATAGAGTTTTCTTTATTGCCATGTGCGTCGGCCGTCGTGTGCACGTTCTTTCTCCTCTATCGAGTCCTAGATCACGTCCCTTCAATGCCGGCTTAATCGCATTCCCTGCAGCTGCTAACTTCTTCACCGCTGCCTTTGTCGTGCCGTCGCCGGCGCTGGATAGGACTGGCTTCCCAGTTACTGCAAAGCCCTCCAGCTCCATTTCGCCTGTCGAAGTCATTGTAGCCTGCACGATGGTTTCTTCACCTTTTGCATACTACCCACAACTCTGAACCCCATGTCGTCGAACCATGTCCGTGGATACACCTTCTGGAATTTGCTGCACAGTTGCGTCACTACATGGTATACCGCGCGTAGTTGCTGGTTCTTCTCCTCCGTCTGCCCGTAGAGAGCTCTTTGCCTCCGTATTCGCATGCTTCACCATGCCGTCGAGCACGTTGAAAAAATACCTTCTCGATGTCGGTGCAGTCCGTGATGCCTGTCTCCCTGCCGTAGGCACTCCTTCCATCGCTAGCCTCCTGCACCACTGGCTGGGGTGCTGTCTTCCACGGAACCCGTCGTTTCGTCTGGACAGCATTCCGTAAGCCGCCAGTGTAGTCGTCACCATGCGCCGCCAGCTCGTAGTCCCCATGCCGTCGTGGACCCGTCTCTTTCCAGACTCCCGCTGTTCCTTGACCACGGACTTGTCTGGCGCCCCTCTGCTGGTGTGGAGGAGGAGGAGGAGGAGGAGGAGGAGGACGCCCCCTGGTCAGCTTCAGGGATGTGGTAGGCCTTGCGCGACACACGACAGCTGAGGCGCCGGCGCCCGGGCCGACGACGCGCGGCGCCCTGGAAGCCGTCGACACTCGACCCTCGATGGTGGAGGACGATTCGGAGACGACCCCGCCGACAACGCTCGATGGCGACCACTGCAACGGCAACGGCGTCGACGACGAGGACGAAGCGGAAGACGACGTCGACGACGACGGCGACGACGCCGATGACGACAACGACTACGTACGACGGCGGTGGCTGCGACGACAAGGACGACGGCAAACGACGACGACGACGACGACGGCGACGACGGCGGTCACGGCGACGACCGACGACGAATGACGAAGGACCGGCGATCGATCAACGCCCGACGACGACGATCGACCGACGACGATCGACGACGACGATCGACCGACGACGACGACGACCGACTTGGCTCCCAGAGGCGCATCACCGACAACTCCGCGCCCGCGGCCTGCACGGCCTCGAGGGCGAGGGGCACCGCGCCGAGGGCGCCGCCGACGAGGTCCTGCCGCGGAACGGCTTGCTCTCCGTGGCAGCAGCCGCGTGTTTCGAAGCTGTCCCTCCTCCTCCTCCTCCTCCTCCCCCTCCTCCCCCTCCTCCTCCCCCTCCTCCTCCCCCTCCCCCTCCTCCTCCCCCTCCTCCTCATTTTCGCGTTCGTGCCGTGACGACCCTGGCATTCGCTTCGGGCACCGCGTGTACAGCTCAGCCCTTGAGCGATCGCGGCTCTCCGACCGCGCAGATTGTTCGGTGTCGGCTGATTCCGGGGCGCTTGGGGAGTTCCACCTTGAACGCCCTCGCTGGAGACGCCGCCTCGTCGACACGACGCGAAACTGACGTACTCAAGGCTCGAGGTTCGAGGGATCGAAGTTTTGGAGTTGTTTGCCATTTTGGTCCCGCCTGGGAGCTTCTGGTCGCCAAGGCTGGATTCGGCTTGACATGCTTTCTGGTCAGAATGCACTGCACGACACATCCAGCGGACGAACTGCGACCCATGGACCAAGGGCTCCTCGCGACGGGAAGAAAACACGACAACGGTTTTCGGCAGCTTTCGGCCTCTGGGGCCCCAGGGCTGTCAGAACACGTCCCGGGGTTAAGAACTTGCCCTGGGGAAGCAGTCCGGACTTCTGGAAACTCATACGTATGAATGAAAACTCACTTTGGTAACATCCGAGGTCTGGGATTCGAGCGATACTCCCCCTAACTTGTGGAAGTGTCCAAGTAAAATGTTTGCAGCGTGGACCCAGAACACCAAGTGGTTGCACTGCTGCTGTGTAAATAGGTGGTGCATGCTATGTGGTGCAAACTAATGTGGTGCAAGCTACGTGGTGCAATTAACCATGTCAAAATGAATTGTCAACTCCACTGCTCACGAAAGTATCGCAATTTGTTTTGCAAAACTCATACGACCGCGATTGCAGTGACTGCTTGGCACTTGCTAGAGCATCTCTGCGGCCGTGCTGGCGCGCGCACCCTCGCGCGCAGAGCGGCCAGCTGGCTTGGCACAACTAATGCGGCCGCGATGGCGCTTACTGGTGGCGCGTCTCAAAGGGCGCGCTGGCGCGTGGGCACGTCACTGCGGGTCGGTGCCTCGGGCGCGAGCGCTATCGTGATGACCTCGACAGCGGCACCAACGATGGTGGTAGCGATGGTGGTGGCATGGATGGCGAGACGACGGCAATGTCAATGACGGCGATGTGTGTGACGACGACGATGGTGATATCCACGTCTCGGCGCTGAAGGCAACTGGCTGGCAATGGTGGCGACTGGCGATGAAGATAACGGCGGTGATGCGATGGCGCTGATCAGGGTGATGGTGAGAAAGTGTGCGCGCGCAGAAGTTCGCGGTGCAAGCTATGTGGTGCAAGCTTTTGCGGTGCAAGCTATATGTTGTAAGCTATGAGCAATGCGTTCCAGGCAATATGCTGCATGCCTCCCCGCAGACATCCGACGTCATGACTGTTTCATAACATGGGCCCCAAGAGGTCTGGTCCGTTTCCCCGGGAGCAGCCTCTTGGCATGTCCTTTGTGTTCAACCATCCTGTGGGGTTGGATCCTTGTTTTGAAGACACAACGCCCCGCGTCTCTCTCTTCTTCCCCTTCCTCGTCCTCCTTCCTCATCCCACCTCCCATGCCTGCCTCCGCCCTCCGCACCAATCAACCATTTCGGCAAATCCCTCACGAGCTTCGTGGCCCCACAGGGAGCTCCACCGAAGGCCCTACAACTGCCGCCCACATGCGTCCCCGCCACACATTCCGGCACACCTCTCACACGCTCTGTGGCCACATCGGGAGCTCCACTCGAGGCCCACATGGTGCCGCCCGCATGCGTCCCCCATTTCGGCACACTCACACACACAAACACACACAAACACATGCAAACACGCGCAAACACACACACAAACACACACACACACACACATACACGTCTCACGCTCCGTGGCCCCATGGCGAGCACCACCCAAAGCCCGACGCGTGCCGTGCGCACGCGTCCCCGCCATTCGTGTCGGCACACCCCTCACACGTTTTGTGGCCCTGTAGGGAGCTCCACCCAACGCCTCAATTGTGCCGTCCGCATGCGTCCCCGCCACCCATTTCGGCACACCCCTCACACGCTTCGTGGCCCCAATCGGGAGCTCCACCCAACGCCTAAATGGTGTCGTTCGCATGCGTCCCCGCCGCCCATTTCGGCACACCGCTCGCACGTTTTGTGGCCCCTACAATGGTTCTGTCCGCATGCGCCTCGTGGCCCCATAGGACGTCCCATCCAAGGCCAAAATGGTGCCGCCCGCATGCGTCCCCGCCACCCATGTCGGCACACCGCTCACACGCTTCGTGGCAACTGGGGGAGCTCCACCCAAGGCCCGACGTGGTGCCGTCCGCAAGCGTCCCCGCCACCCATGTCGGCACACCCCTCGCACGTTTCGCGGCCCCACAAGGAGCTTCAGCGAAGGCTTGAGCGGCACCCTCCGCATGCGTCCCCGCCGCCCATTTCCGCACACCCCTGAAACGTTCAGTGCCCCCTGTGGGGAGCTCCACCAAAGGCTTCAATGGCGAAGTGTGCATGCGTCCCCGCCACCCATTTCGGCACACCCCTCTCATGGTTCATGGCCCCACAGGGAGCTCCACCCCATGTCTCAGTGCCACCGTTCGCATGCGCCCCCCCCGCCCATCCCCTCACATGTTCCCCACGTTTCGTGGGCCCACAGGCAGCTCCACCCAAGGGCCAATGAGGAGATCCATTGAAGGCGATATTCATAACGACGGTACTCACAACTGCATATGGCTGGGCCCTTCGCCATGATAACTTCTATTTTCGGCCCCACGGCCCGCTGAGAGCTCCCGCATGCAGCATGCAGGAAATGGTGGAAAAACCTTCTCTGTCGTAGTGTTCTGCCGCGACGCGTGGATGTTCTGTGCCCCCCAGCGCACATCCAGTGGCACGGCATCACATCACACCACCCTCCCACGACCACCCAGCGACAGACCAACACTGCGGCCCAGCCCCCCGCCACGCCGCCATTCCCGGCAGGCCCTCCTGCACCGACTGCCACCTGGGGGCGCAGGGGCCGCGGCCGCCGCCGGACTCGACCGCTGCTCTGCCAAGACCTCCAGGATCCGAGGGCGCGATGCGGGATCTGCCCGTCCGTGTCCGCCGCCGGGGGAGCCGAGGACCTGGGGCCCCAGGGAGCGGCGGACACAGATCTGCTCTGGGCCCCAGGGGGCCACGTCCCGAGGTCCGGGAAGATCGGCTCCACGGGCGGTGGACACAGAGATGGGCCGAGGGCGGAGGATCGGCGATGGAGGATCGGGGCCCGAGGGCCGAGGACCGCCAGTATGATTTATTTAATCCGATCCCATAACCAACTATCCCTGTTAATAACACCCGGGGGATAAGAAAGTTCGGGGTCCCGGGGGGATAACCAAGGAGGCGTCCCGGCAGATTCCGCGTGGGATGTACGACGAAGAAAGGAGAGCTCGTCTCGTAGTCGTCGTCGTCGTCGTCGTCGTCGTCGTCGTCGTCGTCGTCGTCGTCGTCGTCGTCGTCGTCGTCGTCGTCGTCGTCGCACGAAGACAACGATCATGACGACGACGACAACGACGTAGCCCTGCCACACGTTCGTGACTCCAGAAGGGATCACAAGGAGAGGATGGGAGAGGGGAGCAGGGGGAGGAGGGGGGAGGAGGGGGAGGGGGAGGAGGAGGAGGAAGAGGAGGAGGAGGAGGAGGAGCAGGAGGAGGAGGAGAGGATCAGGAGTGTGGGAGAGGAGGGAGGCCCCAGGACCCGATCCCCCCCCAAACAAAAAAAATGGTTCGGGCCATTGCGCTGCTGAGGTGTAGAGCGTACTGTTGTTTGGCCGCTTGCTACATGACGTGAGTAGGGGCTCATGGTGGCCCACTTCCAGTGATCAAAACAATGCCCCAGACATAAAACAAGTTCGGGAGATGGGCCAGGCGGAAATTGGAGAGAGAGAGAGAGAGAAAGAGTAGTAGCAGTCGTAGTCGTAGTCGTAGTCGTAGTCGTAGTAGTAAGAGTAGTAGCAGCAGTAGTAGTAGTAGTAGCGCTAGTAGTAGTAGTAGTAGTAGTAGTAGTAGTAGTAGTAGTAGTAGTAGTAGTAGTAGTAGTAGTAGTGGTAGTAGTAGTAGTAGTAGTAGTAGTAGTAGTAGTTAGTAGTAGTAGTAGTAGTAGTAGTAGTAGTAGTAGTAGTAGTAGTAGTAGAGTAGTAGTAGTAGTAGTAGTAGTAGTAGTAGTAGTAGCAGTAGTAGTAGTAGTAGTAGTAGTAGTCGTCGCAGTCGTAGTCGTAGTAGTCGTAGTAGTCGTAGTAGTAGCAGTAGTAGTAGCAGTAGCAGTAGTAGTAGTGGAAGTAGTAGTCGTAGTAGTAGTCGTAGTAGTTGTAGTAGTAGTAGTAGTAGTAGGAGTAGTAGTAGTAGTAGTAGTAATATTAGTAGTAGTAATAGTAGTAGTGGAAGTAGTAGTAGTAGTAGTAGTAGTATATTCGTAGTCGTAGTCGTAGTCGTAGTCGTAGTAGTCGTAGTAGTAGTAGTAGTAGCAGTAGTAGTAGCAGTAGTAGTAGTAGTAGTAGTAGTAGTAGTAGTAGTAGTAGTGGTAGTAATAGTCGTAGTAGTAGTCGTGGTAATTGTAGTTGTAGTTGTAGTAGTAGGAGTAGTAGTAGTAGTAGTATCAGTCGCAGTCGTAGCAGTAGTAGTCGTAGTAGTCGTAGTAGTGGTAGTGGTAGTGGTAGTCGTAGTCGTAGTGGTAATTCTAGTGGTCGTAGTAGCAGTCGTCGCTGACGTCGTCGTAGTCGTAGTAGTAACAATGGTAACATTGGTAGTAGTAGTAGTAGTAGTAGTAGTAGTAGTAGTAGTAGTCGTGATCGTGATCATAGTAACAGCAGTAGTCGAATAATTAGTAGCAGTCGTAGCAGTAGT